CCATATGCGAACATCTTTTAAATAGCAGAGATTGTGCCGCCAAATTTAGTGTTGACTGGTTCACCGTGTTGGCCCGGTCACACTCTGTATTTCATCTGAAGGTTCTGGAGGCGCTTTACATCGGGTCCCGCAAGCCTTCTTTGTGCAAACAACGTGAGTGTTTGTTGGGACTCGCTGTCATCTGCCTCTAGTTCCTTCTTGCATATACAAACATATATATATATGCGTAATTTTTTTTTCCACCTATTCACATTGTACATTTCTCTGTTTTAATTTTGAATCTCCGGTGGAAGTTCCGACGAGCGGGAGCGAAACCGGTTGCTTCCTCCCCTTGTTGTTGAGTTTTTTTCGTTTTTTTTATTATTTAATATTGTTTTAATATGTCTTATAATATTAAATTTTATACTTTTATTCGATCGATATATATATATATATATATATATATATATATATATGAAGATTTATAGTTTTAAGGTGTGCTATATTTATGGGATAAAGTGCTCAATATCAGAGATAGAGCGTATGTAAATATAAAAATAAAAGTGAACAATGAAGTCAACGATGTTGACTGGATATTTTTTTTTCGTCACTCTTAGTACATCTTTTGGGGACACAGGACGCCAACGGTTGTTCTGTGTGTTCAATTATTCTGGCAGAAATTATTCTCGTCTGAGAAAAAAACCGAAGCATCTTCGGCTGAAGGGGATGCTTGAGTTTTTTCAAAAGATTTGAAGCGCGGTCTTTCCTCTTGGTTTTCATGGCTTTAGATAAAAATCGGCCCTTTCTCAAGAGAAATACCGAATGCCTTCATGCACTACCTGACGGATAAGAAACGCAGACACTCCTGTGTCTCTGGCTATAGACCTGATTGACTTTGTGGGATCGTTGTCAATCATGGCCTGGATCTTACCAACTTATTCGGGAGTCCTTTTCTTATCAGAACGATCAGGGTGAGTTTTCCGAGCTGCCGTACCTTCGTAATCACCATTAGACTCAGATTGATACCCAAATACTCTGCAATGTTCGTATTGGAGCTTCCGGCGCGAATGCCAAGCAGTACAGCATACCGTTTCGAAATTTCGGGGTGGGGGGGTGAATTGCGTCAGTCTTTTTTGTCACAGACGGTACGCAGTTGACCCGACTACATTGTACAGTCGACAAAATCAAAAACAAACAACGCGCATAAGGGAAATTCAAAATATATATATATGCTTATATTTCTGAGATGAGGTATTATGTACATTACTCGGACTATCGTCCTCATCTCTGTCGCCATATTTATCACAACGTTTTCGGCCGTTGTACGTTCCGGCCTTCTTCAGGTGGTTGGAATGTCGAACTGAACCCTCACAGGGGTAGACTGTTCTAGTCCCACTTGTCATGTTTGATGGATGTCAGTTATCGGTTATCTCCTGTTAATTTCCCTCTGAAAGTTCTCCACTGCCTTAACCGGGTATTGAACTCACACTCTTTGGGTCCTGCGACTGGATCTAACCAACGCCTTTATCCACTGTGCCATGTGCCCTTGAGGCGACAAAGTGGAGGACAATAGTCCGAATAATGTAAATTATATATATAAATTATTACTATATATATATATATATATATATATATATATATATATATATATATATATATATATATATATATATATATATATAGAATTATATATATATATATAAAGAATAAATATAAATTATACGATTGAAGGCGTTAAAGAATAAACTAAATTATACGATTGACTGACCTAACTTCTTACGCTTTGATGCTTCTGATGTAGCGGGTAAAAAGTTTGCGGTTTTAGAGAAAACCTTAATCTAATTTAACAAAGGCACCAGAGCAAAAATAATACATGTGGCTGTCAGATGTTATATATATATATATATATATATGAGGTCTGACTGAAATGTAACGGGACTGGTGTTGCTGTGTTAGCTATTGGCGAAAGAGGGATAAGCGAATTGTGTTATAATCTCTCATGGTATCTTGGGAGTACATCAATGTAAACTTAGTTTTCTGAAATCAACGCATTTTTTTTTCACATATGAGAGTTGTGGCAGGGCCAAATTGTCTCTGCTTCACCACGACAATGCAGCTTCTCACAACATCCGGGCTATCCGGCAGTTCCTGACCGAGAAGAACCTCGTTGTACTGAAACAACATTCCAGTTCAACTGATCTTGTTCCGTGTTACTTTTTTCTTTACCCCAAACTCAAGAGGTTTATCCAGGGGGTCCGTTTTGAAGGCGCGGAGGCCATCAAGTGAGCCTTTACGATGGAGCTGAGGGGGGCATCCAAGAAGAATCCTTTCAGCAGTGCATAGAAGAGTTGCAGAAAAGGAATGGAAAGGTGTATTAGACTTGAAGGTGATTATTTTGTAGGGGAAACCATGTAGTTTGTTGTTTGGAATTGAACTAAATTGTTTGTGACACCAGTTCCGTTACATTTCAGACAGACCTGGTGTATCTATATATATATATATATATATATATATATATATATATAATTATATATAATTGTTTATTTAAAATATGATTCCATATCGCGACATAAGAAGTCCCATGTTTCAAAACAAGAGCCGAAAACTTCGATATAATTATTTAAATTAAATTGAGTTAAAGTAAGCTCTGTTCCATCTTCAAGCGAAATTTTTTTGAATAACGTGTTTTGAAATTTACGTGTTTTAAAAATTGAAATCAAAATTTCCATGGTAATGTTAGGGCGAATTGTTTAAATTGGGTAGGCGTGTGTTGGGTGTTAATAATAAGTATCAATATAGAGTTACTTTCATAGATGTCAAGTCAGGGAAAGGTGTGGGTGTCTAAATTTGAAACGGAAGATGTATTAACCCTCGTCTAGTTTGCATGTCTATGGAGATTTATTTATTTTTTTATTTTATTTTTTTATGAGAGGGATTTATGCATATAAAAAAACTGTCGTAACGTTTGTTTTTTGACGATTTCATAAAGGGTTATCTTTTTTAGGTATTTAAACTATTTATTTGGGCTATGGATTATGAAGGGGTTATATTGTATGCATGTTTTAGTTAATTATTCAAACCATGAATCTGATGAGTGGGCTATGGATTAAACAAGTTATTATATTATATATATATATATATATATATATATATATATATATATATATATATATATATATATATATATATATATATATATATATATATATATATATATATATATATATATATATACGCATATATGCATATATATATATATATATATAGGAGGAAGAGATTTGAAAAGGATATAGTGTGTAAAATATATAAACATGGAGAGACCTAGATTAAAGAGCGGGGTGATTATTATGTGTGGGCCGTAGTTGAGTGAGAGACCAACAATACTCCTTGTAACACCAAAGATGAACTGAAGGCAAGAATTGAATTGAATCACCAAATTAAACAAAGGGATCCTCCAGAAGATTTGCAGAAGATTCCGAGGTTGTGGGGGGGGGCGTGGTTTGAAGCCAATGACGATTTTATTGAATAGATTTACTTTCTATTATTTCCAGCTATTTTTGTGTAATTTTGGTAAATATATCTGTTAAAATTAAATGCCATTGTTATTTTCATTTTTTAGTAATTTAGACGACAATTTATCCATCGCACATCACACATCTCTCTCTCTCTCTGTTTTTCGGAATTGAAATAAATTGTTTGTGACACTAGACCCATTTGTTTCTGCCTAAGATACCCGTGGAGTGTAATTGGTTTGGCCTCGTTTAGCGGCATATCAACAGCTCTATGGGTTACTTAATGTCGGAATCTAAATATTTGAACACAATTTTATGGTTTCAACTAAATGTTTTTTAACATTATTGTATGCCTTCAACTTCAGATAAAATGTATTATTGGTCATTATACACTATGTATACTACGCCTCTCAAGAGAGAGGGTCGGATCAAGCCGAGCTTCTCGGCGTGACGGCCGAACTCTCTGCCTCTGAGCAGAGAGGAACCCGGACGAGGCTCCGCCGAAGGGCAGAGTCTCGTTCGGGGAGGTTGACCAACCCGATCCCGTTTATACGGGTTCTACGGGCATTTTTGGGCCGAGCCTATGGGCTCGGGAAACCCACGTTAAACTCGGCCTTGTGCCACATGCAACCCTCGTGTGGGGTGGCTAGATACCGAATCGAGTCGAGCCGATAGTAGTTCACTCCAAACCAGACTGACAGTCATACTAACACCTTCCACATTTTGTATTATTATTTCGTGTAATATAAATTCGTTATTTCTACACTTGTGTTCGTGTTGTTCTTTCTTGGTCCTAACCTTGGACCATAACAGTTGGTAACTTTTTTATATAAAAATGTATTGCTGGTATTTCTACCATTAAAATGTACTTTTAATTATTAATTTTTTGGAGGGGGTTACTATTTGTCCATAACAGGTGCTGTCTTCCCGGGTAAGGATGAACCTGGGAAGAACAGTAATTAAGAGATAGTTGCACACTCCTTAAAATATTCAATCACCCTATCGGTGGCCTTGCTGCCTGATGTAATTTATCGTCGAACCCAGAGAGTGTATGTCAGGAAGGTGGGACGTGCCTGAAAGCTATATCACTGGTTGACCCAAAAGTTGTCAATGGAATTGGATAGACGGAACTAATGACAGAAGCCGTTGATTCTTGTGCTAACTCGAAGTTACAAGTCAGAATGACCGAGAGTTTCAACGTATCGAACCTGTTGATCCCGTCAGAGGATTTGATCTTAGAAAATTTAACTAAGGTTCATTCAGCATAGCTACAGTCTAAAGTAGATGTGGCCACTGTGGATGTTGAACAAATACAAATGTGCCTGAGAAGGCGTCTGCAACGGCGGTTTAGTCATTGAAAATGAGTACCCGGCCATTATTATTATTATTATTATTATTAATAATAATAATAATAATTTATTATTATTATTATTATTTATGGTGCATCAAAAGTATTTTCGTTTTTTACAGACCTTTACACCAAAGCTTATTTCATGTCCGCATCTACGCTTACGGTCGTATCAGGTTGAAATACTGGTTCCCGTACGATCACCGAAGTTAAGCAATGTTGAGCCTCGTCAGTGCGTAAATGGGTGATCGCTTGGGAATACCAGGTGCTGGAAGTGTGTGAATTGTAATGGATAATGACTCGGAAGTGTTGTTGTTGTTCTTCTTATTATTATTATTATTAGTAGTAGTAGCAGTAGTAGTAGTAGTAGTAGTATCATATAATAATTTTTCTTGCCCCTCCCTTCATTAGTTCGAAAACCTTCACACCCTTCAAATTTATCATGAATAATGGACTATTCCATTTTGAATGACAATACATATCAAAGGCGTTACTTGGTTTCATTCAGAAAATCAAAGAAAGAAGGGAAGATAGAAATGATTAACGTCCGTTTCAATTAAATTTGAAAAGTTGTCAATTTCAAATCTTTTCATTTGTATCCCCTTACTTCTTAAAATAACGATCAGCATTCATATTTATGATTGTTATTGTAATATTTTGTTAAAACTGCTAAGTTCAAATATTTAACGATGCGATAGGAGAATTTCTACGAATATTTTATTGTCGTAGAACTCGCCATGTGCTTATTCAGTCATCAACTGAAGAATTAAGATTCATCAAAAATTACAAATAGTAAAAACGTGAAATTTTCTCGGTGAAAAAATTATTATTATTATTATTATTATTATTATTTATTTCTGTTGTATTATTTGATTTCAGAAAATGGTTGTATGAACGTTTTTAAACATTTACTTCCAGATCCCAACCAGCTTTATTTTGTATTTCTTTAACCTAAGATCGAAAATGGGGTTTTCTGTTGACATTTTCTATTGAACGTTTTTAAACATAAGATCATACCTGTTTGCATAGATAAAGCCCTTCGTAAGCCGTGAGCTTTATTTTTGTATTTCTTTAAGGCATAGGTTAACATTATTATTATTATTATTATTATTATTTGCTTGGGTTTCTGTTGTATACACATTTTTCTTCCGGGTCCCAACCAGAGACCTAAGATCAGAAATGGCTTCATGACATTTTCTATTGAACGTTTTTAAACATAAGATCATACACTGTTTGCATAGATAAAGCCCTTCGTAAGCCGTGAGCTTTATTTTTGTATTTCTTTAAGGCATAGGTTAACATTATTATTATTATTATTATTATTATTATTATTATTTGCTTGGGTTTCTGTTGTATACATTTTTTCTTCCGGGTCCCAACCAGAGACCTAAGATCAGAAATGGCTTCATGACATTTTCTATTGAACGTTTTTAAACATAAGATCATACACTGTTTGCATAGATCAGAAAGCCCTTCGTAAGTTTTTAAACGTGAGCTTTTATTTTTTATTTCTTTAAGGCATAGGTTTTTTTTATTCATTATTATTATTATTATTATTATTATTTGCTTGGGTTTCTGTTGTATACATTTTCTTCCGGGTCCCAACTAGAGACCTAAGATCAGAAATGGCTTCATGACATTTTTCTATTGAACGTTTTAAACATAAGATCATACACTGTTTGCATCGATAAAGCCCTTCGTAAGCCGTGAGCTTTATTTTTGTATTTCTTTAAGGCATAGGTTAACATTATTATTATTATTATTATTATTATTATTATTATTATTTGCTTGGGTTTCTGTTGTATACACATTTTTCTTCCGGGTCCCAAACAGAGACCTAAGCTCAGAAATGGCTTCATGACATTTTCCACTGAAAAATCAAACCCAAGATCGCAGACATTTTACATAGATAATTTGTGAGCTGCCCTTGTGAGTACAATGTTTTTGATTTCTTTAAGACATGGCCTATCGGGAATTCCTTCAATGAGTCTACCGGTACCTTTTCCAATAAATCCGAGTGCTCCAACTACAACTGGAATTATTGATGTTCTCATGTGCCACATATTTTTTCATTGTATTTTGAAAGTTTTTTTTGTGGATTTTCAAAGATAAATTACAATCTTCAGGAACTGCCATATCAATAAGAAATCACATTCTGTTTTTGTGGTCTTTTTTCACGAATATCTGGGCTATTCGATTTGATTGTTCTGTCTACGTGTGTATTGTCATAAAATTGTTACAGGCCCCTTTATCTGCAACCGGGTCTGGGTGATGTTCACACCAGTTTCGTGCAGTTTCCTTCCCATAAAATTTGCATATCTTCCAGTGTAGATATTCGCCCACTTTATCACACCGAGTTTTACATTCAGCTGGTGCTCACACTGTGCAACAAGATGATCAATTATTTCTGGATATTTATCACAGAATCTGCATTTGGGGTCAACACAACTTTTCAGTATGTGTGCTCACTAATTTCTAGTTAGCAAGCATTGGCCCTGTGCTTCTGTTTCAGCTTTCAACACTGCACTATGTAACCACTGATGAGTACGGTGCTTGTCTACATAAGCTTGTTTGGCACGGGCAGAGTACTTATCACGAAGAAGCTTATCTTGCCAACGTTTCAGCATTTGGTACATTGCATTTGCTTTCTCTTTTGCTTTCTTTACCGATAGAGTAGGTTTATTATGATTTAGTTGCACTTCTTGAACCATTCAAAATTTCCTCTTGAATTTGTTGGCTTTCTTTATTAATGAATAAAATTTATAGATTTTATTATTATTAATATTATTATTATTATTATTATTATTTATTATTATTATTTAAGGTTGCATTTTCTTTCCTTCTTCTTTCTTTGTTTCTAACAAAAATTTTCCTGTTTCTTCATATTGGGCTTAGCTTTAAAAATACATCTTTCGCTAATCCAATAGGCATTCGGATTTCGGCGTCTCATTTTCCATCCTCCGTTAAAACACTTCCCAGATATTTAATTTATAGAGAAGTGTTGTTAATACTCACAAGGTTGTGTCTTTTTTTGTGTGTATGATTAATCTTAGACGATTTTTACTCTCTCCTTGATTATTTTATTATTTCTTGTGTTTTAAATTACATTTAGTATGCATGTCGTTCGAAATTGGTTCATTCTTTTTTTTATCATTTCACCTGGAGCAAGGCGATAAAGCCACTAAGACGAAAATGGTTACTAGGCGTGAAAGCGAAAGAGAAGATATTAGTGAGGAGAAAGAACAATAAAAAGAAGGTTGAAAATTTCATTTGAGCATGTAGGATGAAAACATTTAAAGAAAATTGTCGAAATTGTGTACACAACGTTCCGAGTACATTCAACCAACATTGATCATCTTCAAATAATCCAAAGATCACGCAGCGTTGATATTGTTAAATCTGTTTTAAGTCAACATCGATTTAAATCTCATTGTGGTGGAATAGATTATGGTGTCACGGGACTCACAGGAAAAAGTTAGAGTTAAAAAGTGGCAATTTATGTTGTCTAGTAATAAGGTCATCTATTTTTGTAGTTTATGGGTCTGTTTGGTGCGCAAGAGAAATTCATATTAAGCCGATCGAACCTGTAGCGCGTATCACCACAATTATTTAACTTTGACGTGGAAAAAGAACCAGCAAAGAGGCTGGAGGTTACCAAACATGTAGCGGTCACAATGCAATTTATATTTGACGTAAAATATCACATAGTATAAAATACAAGACAGAACGTAATGGTTCAAAACATAACGATTGAATTTATTAGTGTTTTGGTGTACATGCATATAAGCTGAAGGTTTGAATGAGTTATGTCTCTTAGATTTGGAAATATTTGTAAAGTTGGATTAATTATTGAACTGTAGTTTAGAAGAATAAAGTTCCTGTTGTATGTTAGGAAAATTTGGTAGAGTTCAGAAGATTTAAGAGTTCGTACTTGTGTGAATGTTGGTAATGATCTTTAACGTCTGACCGCATGGTCAAGACGGGAGTTCTTGAAGGTTACATTTTGGCAGCAAAGAATAAGACGCGAGAGAAAACGGAGAGAGAAGGCTTACTCGTGTTTTGTTTATATAAGATGGTGTATCACGTGACTGGCTCAAACCTTAGTGAGCGGGAAATTTCATTCCTTGCGTGCAGGATATCTGATTGGTCGGAATTGACCAATCAGCGAGCTTGTTTTGAGGAGATTAATCAATGAATGCTTGTCGCATGATTTGTATGTATTAATCACCACAGGGGAAGAGTGCATTTTCCCGCGGGGGGTAACTGGCAAATGTGGAAGATTCCACAAACCTCTAAAAAGTTTTCTAACAATACTACCATCACATATTCGGTATATTTCATAGTTAGTGAGTCATAGTATCCCATACGACACGAGTTTATGTAAAGAACGACTCATTTTCAGATTATTAAAAGTTCGGTCAATGTGTAGAAAACGTTCTCTCACAATACTACGGCAAATTCGACATGTTGCATGGTTAGGGAGTTCTAGTATTCCATAAGACCCGATTCTATTTGAAGAGAGCCTTAAGAAAGGTGTATGCGCCAAAACGCAAACAAACCACGAAGATCGTATACGAAGATAGGATTAAATCTTTCCAGAAGTTTTCTTAACAATGACACGCTCACATATTAGATATATTTTCAAGTTAGAGAGTCCTAGTATTCCATAAGACCCGGCTTTATGCGAAGAAAGTCTCAATTTAAAATTTTAATTAAAAGATACTTGAATTTTCAATTTATTTAATCTATGCGACTGCTTTTTTGTACCCCGTGCGTTGTACCTCTTTCTGTTCGTTTTCCCACGTGACATTTTTCCATGATTTTTTTTTATGTGACTTTTTGCCTAAATTCAACTAAGATGAACTTACGTCTCAAACGTATTTTTAAAAAATAAAAACAATTAATAAGAACACCGGATTATAAATCCCATTGTTCTTTCTCTACTATATTATTTCTCTTTATATATATATATATATATATATATATATATATATATATATATATATATATTCCGAAAATTTCACACCGGTACTATTTCTTTCTCTTTAGCGAAATTGTTATATATATATCGTATGAATATATAAATTTTAGATTAAGCTTTGAAGCGTTGTATCTTAGAAATGATTAAAGATATCTTACTGTAATTTCCAAATATTTTATAACACTAATGGATTCTACTTTGAACAATAAGAATGTATTTAGTTCTAAGTTGAAATGATGATCCCTCTTTCTGTTGTGAAGACATACTGAGTTTGGAACAAAATTATTTCAACCTGTTCTCTTTCTAGCTTAATAACTCAAAGGGGGTTCCAGGGATTCTTACGAAAAATAGTGTCAAGATGGCTAAATGTCTTATCTGAAAACGCGGAAAAAAGAAATTCAGTTAGTTTAGTGGTTTTTAATATATTGAACATTTTATGAGATAGACAATTATCCCATGCTGCTACACGATTTGGACAATTTTACTGTTACATCCGGTATAAATATATATGACATTTTTATGTTTGTACTTTCTTTTTATGGATACAAATATTTAAGTAAATGCTCTGTTTATAACAAACAGTATTAAACAACATTTATCAGCCTGATTATCCGAGTAATTTTCATAGATAATATTCGTCCTCCGACAGGATTTGAACCTGTATCCTATACGGAACCGTCATTTAGCCTCACGTGCTCTTAACCGATCGTGTCACAGAGAATAGTCTGATGAGCAAGGTCGATTTTACTGTATTTGAACTTCAATATTCTTTGAATCTCTCACGTACATTCATATCTGCTCATGGCGTATCAAATGTAAAGAAATGACGTCACACATTATTAAATGGACAAAGTCCGACAATTATTTTAAGACATTTTTATGTTTATACGTTCTTTTTATAAATACAAATATTTAAGTAAATGCTCTGTTTATAATAAACAGTATTAAACAACATTTCCGGCCTGAATGTCCGAGAAATTTTCATAAAAAATATTCGTCCTCCGACAGGAATCAAACCTGTATCCTATACGGGGCTGTCGTATAGCCTGACGTGCCAAATTTGGCCACAGAAGAGCATTCGGTTAGCAAAGTCGAATTTACTGCCTTTAAACTTCAGTCTTCCATGAATTTCTCACGTACATTCATGGCGTATCCAAATGTAAACAAATGACGTCAAAGATTATGAAATGGACAAAGTCCGACGATTATTTTTAAGACATTTTTATGTTTATACATTCATGGAAGATTGAAGTTTAAAGGCAGTAAATTCGACCTTGCTGATCGAACGATTCTCTGTTGCTCGATCGGTTAAGAGCAGGTCAGGCTAAATCTCTGAAACAAACACACAAATACACACACATACACACACACACACACATATTGTAACATTTAATTTATTTTCAAAGATTATATTTTTTCTCAAAAGAAAGAAAAATATATTTTCTTCATCATTTCACCCCAAGCAAGGCGGTAAAGCGTCTTAGACGCAAGTGGTTACTGTGAGTGAAAGAGAATGAGAAGACTTTAATAAGGAGAAAGGACAATAAAAGCACAGGTGTCCGAAAGACAGAAAATTGCGATTGACATTGCATTTAAAATTTTAAAGATCTTATATGGCAGGGAAGATAAAAAGTGGAAGAGAGTTCCACAATCAAGAAGTGCTAGAAAATGTCCTATTAGAATAGAACTTACGGCTACGTCTCGCTATTTTTTCATCAGTAAAGTGATGAGACCTAATTGCCAATCTAGTATCATGTTTAAATTCATGCAGTCGAGATACCAAGGAAGAGAGCTCATCAGAACAATTGCCATGGAAATATCTATAGTAAATAGAGATGTCACGTGACGGCAGTGGAAAAAGCAATATGATAGCCACTTCTTTGGATTATGTCAAGGATCTCGAGATATATAGCAGGGGCAACAGGCCAAATATGGCAGCAATTTTCATAACCTGTCTTTGATAATGGCCGAAAGACAGATGGAAGTCACGTGACGGCGGTGGGAAAGGGAAAATGGTAGCCTCTTCTTCGATTTATGTCAAATATCTCGAGAAATATAGCAGGGGCCCAAATAGGGCAGCAATTTTTATAACCTGTCTTTGATAATGGCCGAAATCGTTTCGAATTTGGCCTTTAAGCAGCCAAAGAATAATGGAAGAATGTATTTTTACTTTTGCAATGTCTTACTTTCTTTAATTTCATCAGTTCGAGCAGTCATACATCTTTCCCTAGCTAAAGTGTTTATTTTTGAAGATTGTAGCTGACAGGGAAGAAAGAAACTAGAAGAGAGAGTTTCACGAGTAAGAAATGCGAGAAAAAGGAATATCGGTTATATCTAGCTAATTCGATTGTAAAACTATGGGACCTAATTGCCAATCTAGTAGTACGCTTAATTTCATGCGGTCGAGATACCAAGGTGGAGGGCCTCATTATAATAATTGCCATGAAAATATTTATAGAAAAGATGGAAGACAGTCACATCAATGCAATGGGCGAGTGACTGCAGACGAGATGCCAGGTCAACCCCGATAACATTACAGATTTTCTATGGACTTTTTTGAGAATCTCGAGATATATTACAGGAATAACACACCAAATGTGGCAGCAATATACAATATACCTACGAATTTATAAATGTACAAGATGAATTCTGACGAGAAAAATTGTTTACTATGGCAGCATTTCTACCAACTGAGTGCTTTTCCTTTGCCACGGTTTGTAATTCAGTTTTTCTTTCTTAAACTGGGTTCCACTCAAGGCTAGAGAGACTAGTCTACCCTGTTATTTAAAATATAGGTTGAGGAAGAAGAAATAGAATCCATGCCTTTTCTAATGGAATTAGTACGGATACAAGCACAACAGACTAGGCTGGAATTTGAACTCGACTATCCTTTTCTACTTTTTGTGGTGATAACCATTTCGCTACAAACGGATCACGAAAAAAAAATACACGAGAGCATTTTTAACATTTTTTCATGAAGTCCAGTATTTCTTTTAATTTTCAGGACATGTACGGCTGACGCAACACAATCTTCTTAAATTATAATTGTCATTGCCTTCATGTGTGCCTAACTTGAAATACTTACCAGGCATTTACTTTATGTCTGTTGTTGCACGCTTTGTTTTGTTTAATCTTGCGTGAGGACAACGTCAACGAACGGCACGAACCAATCAAAATTGACAGAAGCCGCGAATGCGCCGAGCATTATCTGCGCATGCGCAGTCACACTGCTAACAGTGAAAGAGCAATGGCTGCATCAGCGTTGGAATGCTCAATTGTCTATAACAAATTGCATGTGGCACGCACACCTGACTGCACAGACCGCGTCCTGTCATTTTGATGACTTCCCTCACTGGAGGTGACATTCAGCTCAACTTGATTGAGACTTTTCGCTCTGACGCTTGCCAGCCGAAAAAAAGATGACATCCAGTTTCGACGTTGGCAAGGAAGTTCTGTATTTTAAGGAAATAAACTGGAGAGAAAAAAATTGAAAATTAATGCTGCGCTTAATTCTTTCTCTCTTCTGCTTGGCAAAGCAATGTGTTCGGCTTGAAATGCTTTATAATTTCTTTAATCATCTTCTTTTCTCTTTTCTGTCTCTTCTTTCTTTTTTATCTTCTTTCTTTCTTTCTTTTTTGCTTTCTTTCTTTCTTTTCTAATTTCCCTATTTTTCTTTTCTAACTTCCTTCTTTCTTTTTCTTTTCTTCCTTCTTTCTTTCTTTTTCTTTTCTTCAATTTCTCTCTTGTTTATTTCTTTTTCTCTATTTTACTTCTCTTCTCTCATTTTTTTATATTTTCGAAATTTTTTTTTGCTAGTTTGATTCATTTGATTGATTCTTTCTTTCTTTCTTTCTTTCTTTCTTTCTTTCTTTTTATATTTCGCTTTTATTTCTTCTCTTTATTTCCTTTCTTTCTTTTCCCTTTATATCTTTTTCCTTCCTTCTTTCTTTCTTTTTTATTTTCCAAATTTTCTTCTTTCTTTTCCAAATTGATTATTCTTTCTTTCTTTCTTTTTCTATCTCTCTTTTCCAAATTGATTCTTCTTTCTTTCTTTCTTTCTTTCTTTCTTCCTTTCTTTCTTTCTTTCGTCTTAATCATCACTTATCTGACTTTATTTTCATCTTTCTTCCCTTCTCTGTCATCTCATGTAATTTCTTTCTTTCTTTCTTTCTTTCTTTCTTTCTTTTTTTCTTTCCAAAGTAAGTCTTCTTTCTTTCCTAATTGATTATTTTTCCTTTCTTTCTTTTCTCTTTCTTTTATTTTTTCTTTCTTTCTGTCTTTCTTTCTTTCTTTCTTTATTTTTCCAAATGGATTTTTCTTTTTTGCTTTCTTTTTCTTTCTTTTTTTTTCCAAATTGATTCTTCTTTCTTTCATTTTTTTTATTTCTGTCTTTCTTTCTTTCTTTCTTTTCCAAATTGATTGTTTTTCTCTTTACAAATCTCCAAATTGATTTTTCTTTCTTTCTTTCTTTCTTTCTTTCTTTCTTTCTTTCTTTCTTTCTTTTCCAAATTGATTCTTTTTTCTTTTTTCTTTCTTTTCCAAATAAATTGTTTTTCTCTTTACAAATCTCCAAATTGATTTTTCTTTCTTTCTTTCTTTCTTTCTTTCTTTCTTTCTTTCTTTCTTTCTTTCTTTTCCAAATTGATTCTTCTCTGTTAATTTCTGAGAGATGTCAGCTGAAAACCGGTAATGCTATATAAATAAGATCATCAATTTGCGGAGACTGTACACTGCTAATTTTATATACCACTTTCGCTGCCGAAGAATACAGTGTGTTACTCACACATTTCTTGTAGAATTAATTAATGAAAAAAAATAGTTATGTTGGTTAATGGAGATTAGAGGAATCAGAAGGAAAAACTTTAATCTGAATCGGTATCTTTAAAATCGATTTATTAAAAATTGGATGTTTTAAAAATCATGAGACGATAACTGTGAGAGCATTTCATATATTGAAAAACAGTTTCTACGATGGGGTGAAAAACATCCTCGAATTCGAGACAAAAAAATCTGAGGATTGGCCGTAAAACCAGATATTCAGTGGACAGCATCTATAAATCTTCGGCTCACCTAATAAATTCCTCTTACATATAAAATATACTTGCATAAAAGTTTCTGCAATTAGAAGTTATTTAAGTTGCTTATGGTCGAACGAATGACCTCATCTTTGTTGTTACTAGCACAATATATCTGCAGTTATGAACAGTCTTAGATAGATAGATAGATAGATAGATAGATAGATAGATAGATAGCACGTAAGCTGCCACGTAACAATATAACTGAAGGAGAACGGGTAGCCCTTGACACGCTGACGCATAGAGATGACCTAAACATAACACATACTGACAAAGGGCGTGCCACAGTGATATGTGGAATCAAAGAATACATCAAAGAGGCCAAAAATCAGCTAGCCGACAAAGAAACATATAAAAGCTTACCTGCAGACCCTCTTCCCGAATACCAAAAAGAATTAACTAGCTCACTAAACATGATGCTTCGTAACAATCTAATCGACAAGGAAACGTTCAACACTTACACCCACAAACATCACACCTGCCCGCTTCTATCTCCTTCCCAAAATACACAAAAACAACAATCTAGGAAGGCCGGCCATTTCAACACTTAATTGCCACACGACGAAAATTTCCAAATACGTAGACCATTACATACAGCCTCTAGCTAAGGAATTAAAATCCTACATCAGAGACAAGACAGACCTACTAAAGAAAATTAATCACATACAAACAGTACCAGTGTTATGGTGAAACACACCTATTCTATAGTTAATTGACTCTCCCACCTAATATAAGTAGGAGTTGTAAGAGAAACGAGGGTCAGTCGATGTCGGACGACAGTAGTCGAATACGAAAGTAGTCAACGACCGCAACAAGATTACTCTGCGTAATACCTATTATATCAAGTTCCTAACGTTTTGTACGTCGAACCTATTTTAGGACCGATTTAGTACAAATACAAGACTCCACTGCGAAATAACTCCACAACAACCAGAAAATTCTATTCTAATGATTATGGACTCAGGATCACTTTTATTCAAACATTAAACACATCGAAGGACTAACCGCCCTTAAGGAAGCATTTACTAAAAGAAGAAAACAAGACCCCCCCCCAGAAATTATCATAATGCTAATGGAGCATAATCTTACATTGAATACATTCAACTTCAATGGAGAACACTACCTGCAAGTAAGAGGTTGTGCCATGGGCACCATTGCAACTCCATCATGTGCTACAATATTCATGGGAAAATTTGAGGAGACTTATATCAATCTCCTGATCGGTAGCGACTGCGTATTCTATGCAAGATATATCGATGATATATTCTTTGTATACACGGACAGTGACGATAAACCAAATTTCTCATGGCCCTAAACACAGTACACGACTCAATTAAGTTTGACTATGAAAATTCAACAAAATCGGTAACATTTTTAGACAGCCGCATTTACAGAAAACTACAAACGACACTACACACTAAAATTCCCGACACCCGCAACTCTCTACACTTTAAGTCTTCCCACCCTAAACACCTCAAAGAGAACCTTCCCTATTCAGAAGCACTTAGACTCCAAAGGATATGTTCCAACAATGAAGAACTAAATAAACACATTCAAAATCTGGAGCATCAATTCACAACACGTGGCTATAAACAACACCTAATCAGGGAACAAATAAATAAAGCAATTTGCACACCTAGAGAAGACACCCTAATGTCCAGGATTAAAAATAAACCCAGCCGCATTCCTCTAGTAACCACTTTCAACCCCACTCTGCTTCTACTATCCCAGATAATCAAAAGTCGCTGGGAAATACTGCATCGCAAACCAGACCTAAAAAATGTTTGAGGAACCCGGCCTTCTATCATATCGTAGGCATAAGAACCTAAAGGAAATTATTAATAGTAACCACATATAAGGTAATCCGTAATAAACCAAAAACAAAAACAACAGGATTTTCCCAATCATGTAACAAAAAAGGAGCCTATGCTGTAACCACATTAAACACACAAATTCGTTCGCTAGCTCAGTGACTAAATCTACTTTCAAAATCTACCACAACTCTAACTGTAGAAGTCATAACATAATTTGCCTCCTAGAATGCACACTATGCCAGAAACAATATGTAGGAAAATCTGAATGGCCCTTTCACTACAGAATTAATAATTATCGCAATCAAATTAAGTCGACTCCCCATGAAAGATTATTATCTGTAGAACAACATTTCCGCCTAGAAAAACATGATTTCAAAACCCATGCCAAATTCACTATAACTGAGAGAATAGAAAAGTAGAGTAGATAACGTTAAAGTTTTTTTAGAAAACCATGAAGATAAGTGGATTCTGCGCCTAAAAACGCTCCATCCAGACGGACTCAATCATAAATTTATCAACATAAATAGAATTAGTATATAACTCCACATGCTTGCGGAGGTGTTGAGGTCTCACACTTATACTCACACCCATACTAATATATACACTTACACAAATCATACTCACTCACTCCCTAATGAACTAAATGGTAACACACATCCATACTAATATACACACTTACACACATCGTACTCACTCCCTCTCTAAGAACCAAATAACACACACTTAACAGAGACGCATTCCCTTTCCAGGAACCAATAAAACTGTCAAAATGACCAAGAGAATTCAGAGCA